TCTTTGAGTCTGCCCATTCTACCACTTCTGAAGCCATATGTCTCTGCTATTGATCAGCCCACATCTCTCCATCTTATTCATATGGAGACTTGCCCAGGATCATATAGCTAGTAAATGTCTGTGATGGGATTTGAAGTCAATTCTTTTTAACTCTATGACTCAATCTACTGTGCCACCAAGCTGCCTCAGAATAAACGATTGTGATTAGTGTGGTTCAAGTCAACAGCTAAATGCCTTCCATGTGCCAGACACCATCAGAGAAGCTAGGGAGACAAAGGCGAAAGCAAAATGGTCCTTGATTTCAGGGTGGAGAAAGGGTGATATGAAGAGAAATTCATTTTCTGCCCGTACAATCCCTTATTTATTCTTCTCTTCTTGACCAATCAGCAAGTTTGGAGAACTCTTGATAATCTCTACATTACTGCTCACTGGCCCTGCTAATTTCCATTTATCCCCAACTAATTTGGGAAAACAACATACTCAGTGGCAGCATAGTATCAGCTGTCCTCAGGCACAGAGAGCCTTCCTCCCCCTCCCCCCCTCTCCCTATCCCTTCCTCTCCCCTCCCCTTCTCTATCTTCTCCTTCCTCTTCTTCTCCTCCATTCTTGTGTGGGGGTGATCTGGGAGAAGGGAGGAGGCTTTAGTGGGAAGCTGGTGTCACAACAATGAGGAGCGGATAAGTGAGTAAAGAGAAAAGGCTCACTGCCCATCTGCCTGACAGGCCTTGAATGCAGGCTGTGGCTAAGGAATGCTTACTCGTGTTCAGAAACCTTGTTTTTCTAAAGGATTTGGGTCCTGTGAGACACCTGGATATATCGAGGGCTGAGAACAAGGGCTGGGGCACTAATTCTGGACCAGGAGGGCATCTGTTTGGCCTTGGTAAGGGATGGTCCAACCTTGGAAGCTTGACTTTGCAGTCCTGGGAGGTTAAGAATACCTTGTCCTGGAGATGAATTCTGAACTAAGATGATTTTTTTTACAAACGTCTAAGACTTTGATGGAAGTGTGTGACTCTTGGCCAGTATCTGGGTCTTATGATTCTGCAAAGTCCATCCTTCTTTTGGGGCAGGTAAAGAAATGGGTCCCTTCAGCAGTCACAGGATTGAAACTCTGGAAGCTCTTTGGTATCATTCTTAGCCTGCCTGACTCTCATGTGAGGATGGAAAAGGTGAGAAAAATCCAAGTTGCCAAATAGCATGGATGATTTGGGGCTAGCCTCCTGTCTTCTGTGGGCCTGAGTAAATCCTCTCTTCATGCTCTCAATTTTTGATCCAAGAGTCTCTGAAAGTATTAATACTAAAATTGTGGACCGTCATTTCAGGAAAATGAAACAAAGGCACTTAATTAGAATGCTTCCTGAGCTTAATTAGATTAATTAACACCCAGATTTGGAAGATGTAAGGATTTGGTGGAAGTGAGGAGCTTCCCATCCTATTTACTCCATAAACCAAAATCAGGCAGATGCCCTAATTCCTTAGTTCCACAGTTGAGTCTCAACTCAATTACAAAACAAAATCTATAGCCCCAGCTCAAGCATTTGTATTGGGAAGAGTCTGCAGAAGTAATCAACTCCAATTCCCTTTGCCTGATTTAATTACAGAGCAACATTTGGTGCAGCTGCTAATATCTTATTAGGTGACCCCTTCCCTACTCCCCCCTGGCTCTGCCTGGAGCAGGAAGGTTATTTATTGTCTTCCTGAATTATCTGCCCATATTTACACTGGGACAAAGGGTCCACTTTGAAAAGATACACAGATTTCTCTTATGTCACAAATATTTTCCATGAATTGATCTAAGTATTGAAGTGAATTGTACATTATATCAAAATGTAAAATTGTGTGTGTGTGTGTGTGTGTGTGTGTGTGTGTATGAGAGAGAGAGAGAGAGAGAGACAGAGAGAGAGACAGAGACAGAGACAGAGAGAGAGAGACACAGAGAGAGAGAGAGAGAGTGAGTGAATGAGTCCTGGTCCCTTGCATGGGTATGACATATCCTAACATAATTGAGGACAAGAAGTGGGATTCTGGATATCAGGAGTTGGCAAATTACATTAGTGTTTCCCTAAGTTTCTACTTTTTACAACCAAGATGCCAGTCGTGTAGGCTCTCTGTTGCTGTCTATTTGCCATGTAAGGACCAGCCTTTAGTGTTCTGGGCCACAGGATAATGGGTTTTAGAGCTCCAAAAGACCTTTAAGGCCAATCACCTCCTCACTTTACAACTGTAGAAACTGAGGCTGGAGAGGTCAGGTAACTTATCCTAGGTCACACTCGTAGCAAATGGAACCAAGATTGGAGCCCAGGCTTCTCAACTCCAAATTCTATCTCCCTCCCACCCTACCAGAGGTGACTTGTTTTAGCAACAATGGGGACGTCAGAAGAGCATTTGGGAGCAGGGTCTTGACTATCTTCTGTCCTAGCAATCTTCTGCACATAGGAGGGTATACACACATGCCCAGATCCACACTTTTTTTTTGGAGGAAAAATGAAATGGAAATAAAATGGAGTTGTTCATAATTTAGTTAATAGATACAGGGCTGGAAAGGACCCCAGAGGTCTTGTCCAGCCCTCTCATTTTATGAAGGAGAAAACTGAGGCCTAGAAAAGGGAGGGGACTTGTCCCAGATACATGCAGACAGGAATGAGCAGAGCTGAGATTTAAACCAAAGTGCTCTGACTACCAATCCATAGCTCTCTTCACTGTACTACATCGTTTTCTAAAGAAATTAAAAGCTAACCACCCAGTGTTGTCTTTCTCTCACTGCAGAGGGGTAGCTCACTATGCACGAACCTAACTCAGAAGCAGGTGGGCTACGCAGTATTCAGCACCAGGGAGCTCATTAATACATGGGGCACGAGGGGTAGGAGGCAGCCCCCTCTCTGGCTCCTGAGCTTGATGGCTTTCCAGATCGGCCCCTGGCCCTGGGACCCACACATCAGAGGACTTGGCCTTAACTCTCCAGTGAGGGCAGAAAAGCCAACATCCATCATAAAACCACAGGAACCACCTTCTCCTTCCTTTGCTATAACACTGCAGTATGGGCCAGCCTGCATTTTGTTTACAGCTTACCACACATGTGGTTTGGACCCAGGGCAAGAAATAGAAGAACTGTCATGCCTAAAGGTAGAACATTCCTCCATAACACTGAGTTTCCTACCCCCGAGGACAGCTTTCTACTCAGAACACTCACAGTGAGCCACAGGAGGAAACAATTGTGTTCACTGAAAGCAAAAAGGAAGGGAGCAATGATGGCAACTGCCAGATGTTCCAGCCCCCCTGAGGGAGCCTGAATGCATCTGCCTCACCTGCAACAGACCTCATCATCCTGGGCCCAGGCCCCAGGGCCCAGTTTTCTGGGCAGGCTGCTCTAATATCCACGGGATCCAAACATTTGAGAGCAAGAAAAGACTTCAGTGCTAGCTGAGTCCAGCCTCCCTTATTTGAAATATGGAGAAACTGAGACCCAGAGATGGGAAATGATTCACTCAAGGGCACAGAGCTAGTTCATCTCCAAGCTGAATTAGCATCAACCCTTTGATCCAGTTATCTTATAGTGGAGTGAGGAAGACCTGAGTTTTAATCCTGCCCTAGAAACTGTCTAGCTGTCTGACCCTGAGCAATCAGTACTAATCACAATCTATGTGCTCTCTGAGCAAAGCAGAGTTGAAATTGCTTGAAAGAAATGCAAGATGCTCAGATTTAGAGAATCCACCCCAAAGGTTTGCACGGACTATTTGTGCCCAACCTGTGGTAGAACATTCTGAGCTCATATTGGTCAAATCAGTCACTGCCAGACACACCGAAGCTTGACTCTAGCATAGTGGTGTCATTTGGTCCTCTTTGAGAACAAAGGACAACAGCCAATGTACCTCAATTTCCTCATTTGTAAAATGGAGACAAAGATAGCATCTCCCTCATAGATGGTGAGAATAAAGTGAGTCAACATATTTAAAATGCTTTGCAAATCATAAAGTATTACACAGATTGTTGTTGTTGTATATCACCCCTCCTATGGTATTCTTAGATATTCAGAGGACACATTGTTGGAACCCAGGCCACATCTAGGGCTCTCTTTCATGGTTAAAGGTCTGGAATTGTCTTCCAAAGGTTTAGTTTAAAGTCCTGGAGGAGAGAATTCAGGTTCTAAGAGGTCTGAGAGACCACAGTAGCTATGAAGTGCTCATCAAGCTAGTTTGGATCCTGGGAGATTGGATAAAAGAGGTGTATACCAGGGGAGGAGCCTGAATTAATCAATCAATCCTTCATTGCCTATTATGGGCCAGTCACTGTGCCAAATGTAGGACCATCAAAGACAAATCTAGAATGAGGAAATGAGGCTCATTCATGTTCTTCTTACAAGGAGCCTGCCATGTAAATTGCACCCAAGCAACGATCAGCAATTTTCAGGGCCATAGAAGAAAGATCCCCACCCCCAGCCCCTGCTTTGATCAAGGCTTTTGTCAAGACCACTTTTAGATTCTGGGTGTTTCAGCAGGGCCCTGGGGCAAATTATTATCAGGGAACTGGCATTGAAGCTGGCATTCTTACATTACTGATCAGAAGGGAGAAGACAAAATGGTTTGTAGAATGAAGCTAGAGAGACAGCATGGTGATGGGAACAGAGAACTAGGCTTGGAGTCAATCAGGCCTGGGTTCAAGTCCGATTGGCACATACTGGCTGTGTGAGTTCCTGGTACCAGTAAAGCCATAGGTCTGAAGCAAGATCAAAACAAGCTCATTTTACTCTATTCTGATTCCCTAGAGTGAGCATTATCACCATCTTGTCCTCAATGGTCACCTCTCATATTTAGCCATTTCTTGTTTCTGAGTGCATTACTGTGTTAGGTCCGGTATTTCACCCCATAGCATCTCAAACGAGAAGATCCTTTTGAACATCAAAACCCCTGACAACATTCTGGTTCTGAAAACGGAAGGCTTCTCACTCAATCCTGCACACAGTGCCCTGTGGCCATCATTCTAATTACTCGCCTTGGTCTTACCATCGCTGTTGATGCAGACCACCTCCTGGACTTGTGTTCCAGGACCACACTGCTTTCCGTTGTCTGGCTCACAGTCTCCAAGCCTCACTGCCTTCCAGTCATAGCAGGAAGGCTCTTCACAGGGGATGGCTTCCAGCAAGTGAGGGCAGTTACTCGTCCCCCCAGATCCTCCAGTAGGCTCATTAGTAATCCTCCTCTTCCTCAGTTTAAAGCCTGAAGTATTTGGGAAAGAAAAGATTTGGTCAGTGGATGGTTTAGTACAATGGACAGCTCCAGGAGGCAATCATTTGAGGAGTAAGAGGGAATGGGAATTCTGCTGCTCAGAGAAAAGGACTTCACATAAAAAGATCTAATAAAGGCCTAACAATAATCCTAGATGGGAACAGGTCAGGGGATAGAGATTTCTCCTCTTATTTCATTGGCACAAAAACTTCCTAGTGAGTTAACACCCTCTATCAGTACAAGTTGGCTACTACTCTGCATTTTATAGTCTTAGAGTTTTCCAGAGCACTGAAAGGTGACTCACAGTCAGTAGGTCAGAGGTATGACTTGAACCCAGGTCTTTCTTCCTGGATCCCAAAGCAGCTCTCTCTACTAGGCAACACTTCCTTTCAGGTAGGGAGAATGTGATTTCTGTCTATCTTACAGATGGGGAAAGGGTGACTCAGAGAGTTGTTGACTTGATCATAGCCCATTAGTAAATGTTAAAAGTGAGATTTGAATCCAGGTTTTCTTGACTCTTAACTCTAAAGCTCTAACCATAATGCAATGCTGCCTCTCTAGCATGCATTCCAGTCTTAGAGGCAACTCAGATACCACGGCTGAACACTTATCAGGCCCTTATGAAGTAGTTGGTGTTCCCCTGTGACTTTGTGTTTACCTGACACCCACAGATCTTGGAGCCAGGCAGACAGATGCATCACCTACCTTCAGCTATGGTAGTATCACACTGGGTCTCTGAATTTTCTGGATAACTACAGATTTGCCAACTTTGAGTGCCAAAGCTACTTTAAATTTTAACTGTTTGAAAGGAAATCTTTCTAAAATGTGACATGGTTCCCTGCCTCAGAGTACACTGAACATCCTTTAATCATCTCTTAATGATTCATGCCAAACATAGCATTTTGGATAACACCCTGATGACATCAGGAACTATAGAACAAGAAAGGAATGCTTGCTTTAACCCTGGTAGCCTGGGACTAGAGACATTTTTTTCTTCTCTTGAATACCTTTAATATTTCATCCAGATCATCTTTTGTTGTCCAACTGTCAGTTCTCACTGTGCCAGACTACATCATCTCTTTTCTCTCCTTCTAAATTAAATTAAGTTAAATTAAATTACTTTTAGTTTTCTGTAGGCTCAGGAACTAGCTCACCAAGGTTATGAAAATTCACAGAACTTGAGAGTTGGAAGGGACATCACTGGCCATCTGGTCCAAACCATACATGGAAGGAATCCTCACTATAATATACTGCAGACAGGTGGCCATCCAACTTTTGCTTGAATATGTGTGAAACAAAAGTAGGTTCTGAGAAAATGTCTAAGACACTGCACTCTGAATAAACTGCAGTGCCCCTTTTTAAATGCTCAGAAGCCTCTTCTTTGGGGGGGAGTGGTTTTCAGTTCTGCCCTGAATAGAAGAGGTTGATGGGTAACTGAATTCCAGATAGGTAATGAATTCTCATTTACTTGCATTTTTTTTCAAGGACTTCAGTTCCTCTTTTGCATATTAAGCACCACCTTTAGTAGTACTCAAGGATTCCAAAATTCCTGTCCTATCTACTGAGAGATCTTTCCACATAAGGAAGAAACATTCTGAATTGATGACTCTTCAGTTCCCTCTGTGAGAGGGGAAGGCACTCCATCATCACACGTCTAACCTCTTTATCTTTAATTCAATTCTACAGATACCAATTCAGCAACTTTTCTGTGCAAGCTCCTGTGCTCAGGTCTGGAAGTGCCAACATGAAAAACAGGCATCTCAGTTATCAGGGGCTCGTGCTGGAGTGGGGGATGAGTGGGCTTCACTCATGTGTAGTTGAAGGTTAGCATACTATGAGACATCATTGTCATCCCTTGTGGTTCAGTTCAAGGCCGCCTTATAACATGAGCCTTCTCCATTCATGATGATTTCTCCTTCTTACCTCATGAGCCTGGATGTTAAGTCAATTCAATTCAACAATCATTTACTATGTCCTTACTATTTGCCCAACACTGTGATAAGCACAGGGGACAAGAAGCCTAAAGGCTAAACCAGCACATTACATCACAGAATGCTTGACGAAGGCCAAGCAGCCACTTACATACCTTTCTTGCCCTGCTGGTCATCACAGTTTTCAAAGGTACAAGGTCCCCAGGCCGACCATGCTGACACCACACACTCAATAGGGCAGGGAATGTGGCACAGCTGAGTGGTGCTTGGGATAGTCCCTGTGCAGAGTTTCCAGTCTACTGGCTTGGAAGCTGTAGGGGAAAATGGAAAAAAATGAAATTCTCCTGAAAAGGACCATGAGCTTCGCTATCATCCCCTATCAATATTTCCCACATGAAAAGAGGGTAACAATGTTTAAATCAGTGTCATGGAGCTCTTTTCATTTCACAGATCACAATAGTAGTATCCCAACAGGCCTTGACAGGTTTGGGCAATGGGATGAATTTAATCAGATCAAATTTAATGAAGTCTTATATGTGGGTCCAAAAGTCAACTTTATAAGCATAAGATTGGAGAGATGTGGTTAGATAACAATGAGTCTGAAAATTAAGTCTTTTTTATTGAAGTGCAAGCTCATTGTGAGTTACCAGTATGCCATGGTAGTCACACAATTAGTCTAAAACGGGGTGGCATCATGAGAGGTATAGCTCCTAGGGCTAAGAAGGTCATGGACCCATTGGTTAGACTAGAAAAACTGTGTTCAATTTCGGGAGATGTCTATCGAGGGGAATGCCACTGGGAGTAGTTGGATGGTTTCAACCTGAAGTCTTTACTTCACAGAGGACACCAAATTCCGTTTCCATGACCACAAGAACTTTGTCAAAGTGGAAGCACATATGGCTTGGTCTGAGGTCACTGGCAGGAAGGATGGGGCAAATAAGGGAAACAGAGCTGGGTAAATGCTTCATTGCTCACACCTTCCCTGGCTCTGATTTCCACCTGGTGTCTCCATTTTCTTCTTCTTTTTCTACCATTTATTCCTCTCCAAGTGCAGCCCCCTGTCAAGACCACAGAACCATTATGGACAGTATTTCCTGTCCACTCCCTACCAGGATGCCTTGGCTTGTGCTCAGGGAGGAAGCTTCAGGAAGATGAAGAATGTGAAATGCCTCCTAGGACAACACAGCTGGGGGGGAAGGGTCCCTTTGATGGACGAACGCTCCTTTGCCTCCACCCCTAAGGAATGCCAGAGCAGCCTTCCAGCTTGCCGGTTCTACAGGTGGGAAGCAGGCAGTATATGTGTGTCTGCATATTTGTGTGTCTCTGTGGGTGTGGGGGGATGTGTCTGCCTGAGTCTATGCGTCAATGAGTGTTAAACCATTCATCCATGGCTTGAATGCACAGTACCATTGATGTAATGTAATCCAAGAAGCCATTGTTAAGCATCCTATTTGGCACTAGATGTTGAGAATACAGAGATCAAAAAGTGATAGCTCCTGCCCTCAAAGGGATTATATTCTACTGGAGGTAAGTAAATTTGAGATAATTTGAGGAAGAAGATAGTGCTAACATGGGAAGGGATAATGACAATAAAACACTATGTAACAATTAAGTAGTAATTGAAGGTTTACAAAATGCTTTCTGTATGTTACTTCCTTTGATAAAGGAAGGCTTCCAATGGTGTCTGGCACCTGAGTGAAGCTTTGATGGAAGCTAGGGAGTTTAAGAGGCAGAGAGGAGAAAGGAGTGCTGCTGGTTGTGGTGGGTGCTTGGATGACAGTAAACCTCATGGAGTCTGAGCTTGCACTTTGGTTACTTCTGGGGAAACATGGGGCTCAGTACCCCAAGGGGTGACCTCCAATTCAGCCCCCACTGGAGTGATGCCAAATAACCTGGGTAAAGGCCTGAGGTTAGAAATGGAACACCATGGTTGGAAACACCAAACAAGAAAGTTTGGTGATGTGTCAGGGGAATGATGGGAAATGTTGAGAAAAATTGGCCAGAATAAAACTAGAGTCCAGAGGAGTTAATTAACATATAGAGCATTGACCATGCACCAAGCAATGAACTAAAGACTGATGAAAGGCAAAAGTGTCCCTGTCCTCCAGGAGGTCACACTATAATGGGGGAAAAGAATGTGCAGATAACTATGTACAAATAAGCAGTATTCAACCTACCTGTCTATGATTTATATGGATATGTGGAATCTATTTCCTATACACACAAGTATTTCTGGTGTAAATACCATATATGTATATCATAGACATACATATATACAAGGGTGTATATGTATATATAGATGTATATAATTTATGATACACTATGTATACACATATATCTATAATGGTGTGTGTGTGTGCGTGTGTGTGTGTGTGTGTGTGTGTTTGTAACTAAGGAGGCCATTCACTATAATAGTGTAGGCGAGAGGTGAGGAGGGACTGTGTGAAAGTCCTGGCTGAGTATTTTATTCCTTCAGGAGGTTGAAGGCATCTGTACTCTCTGAGAGGAAGGCGACTGGAAACCACCAGAGTCCAAAGCTGTTCATTCCCATTTATGGTAATGATAAATCGAATGAAGGCAGAGAATGAAATGCTACATACAGTAGGCAAGTCATAGTTAAGTTTTCCAGGAATGGAATCAGAGGGTGTTCAGTGCTTGTCATTGGAGTTGTTTGATTATTGTTATGGGATTTTGTTTCTTTTTGTTCATACAGATTTCATTCTAGTAATGATTGTAAGTGTGGAAAATCACACATATATGATCTGTGCAGGCACCGTTTTCCTGGGCCAGCCAGGACTTACCCACCCAACATTGCCCTCCAGACACCCCCCTTCTTCCTGCCTCCTGCCCTGCATCCAGACCATCTCCATTTTCACTAATGATGCTTCTTTGTGTCATGACTAGGCACACATATGTGTGAAGTGCTGAATCTTTCTTATATAAATTAGTTATTTCTGAGGCTTCCTAGATTTGTTTTCCTTTTTTCCTTCCAGGAATATTTTAATTATCTCTCTCTACAGCAGTGAAAATAAACATGATTGTACTTCTATTACTTGTGTTGTGCAAACCACAGAGAACTTTCCTGCTTGTGTTAAGCAGGATTGTTTTCTGATGTGTATTTCCTTATCAATCAAAGTCAAGAATGATTAATTTTATTGCTTTTCCAACACTGAGAACATGATGTATTGGTGGAACAAAACAAGTAAAGAGAGATCTAACTTTTTTAGAAGACTTAGAATCTTCACCACACTTAGCAGTTTCTTTGTGGCAGTATGTATTTCTAACTCAAGGAAGCCAGGGCAGCCAAGCTGGAAGGCCAGCCCACAGGTCCAGGTCCAGGTTGGAGCAATTATTCTAAGGCCACATGACAGCAGGCAGAAATAGACTCTTTGGGTAAATGTTTTAAGGGTGTTACATCATGCTGTAATTGCAGTGGGGGTTGGGGGATGGCCTTGGAAGGTAGAAATAATATTATTAATAATGATAGTTAATATTTCTGTGGCACTTACTATTTGCCAGGCACTGTGCTGAGCACTTTACAACCATTATCTCATTGGGTCCCACAATGGTGTAACTTCTTCTCAGGTCCACCAACAGTGCATCAGCGTGCCTGTCTTTCCACAACCCCTCCAACTCTGTCTATCTTTCATAATCCTTGCCAATTTCCTGGCTGTGAGGTGGAACCTTAAGGTTGTTTTTATTTTACCTTTATCTTGCTCTTGGAGCTTTTTCTCCTCTATACTTAATAAAATCCTTTTTCTAGACCACTTCATCAAGATATTATTCTATAACTTTGCCTCACATAGTGAAACTCCTAGACAAATTAGTTCATACTTGTTAGTTCTACTTGCTCACTTTAATTCTTTGCACAACATTTTTATTGGACTCTCAACCCCATCAACTGATCCAAACTGCTCTATTCAGAGGGCATCAACAATCTATTATCCTCCCTCTCCCACCATCCCCATATTCAATCAGTTACCAAATCTTCTTGATTCTACCTCTTCAACATCTACTGTATCTATGCACTCCCCTTTAGTCCCAGTCACCACTGTAGTTCAGGCTCCCATCTCCTCTTGCTTGGGCCCTTGCAATGGCCTCCTAACTGCTTGAAAGTCTCCCCTCTGCAAAATATTCTGTACACTAATATCAAATTGATATTCCCAAAACACGGATCTGACTTCATCCCCCTGCTCAAAAATGTTTAGTGAATCCTTTAGTATTTAAGAAAACACTCATTCCTCAGCAGAGCATGAAGAGCTTTTCCCAGTCTGGCTCCATCCTAACTTTCCAGACATTTCACAATGTATGGATACCCCCTTATGTACTCTACATTCTAGTCACAGGCCAACCAGCTGCCCCTCAACCTTGACATTCCATTTCCCATTTGTGCTTTGCCATAGGCTAATCTAAAAGTTGGGGATGCTCTCTCTTTCTCTTCCTCTCTCTTTTTTCTAATCCCTGGATTACTTCCCCTTCAGGGCTCAGCTCTGAAGCCTGCCTGGACCCTCTGCATTAGTGCCTTTTTTTCTGGATAGATTTGCCTTTTGCATAGATACCACATCCCCTAGCAGAATGGACATTCTTTGATGGCAGAATTGTGACCTTTGCCATTTTATGCCAGAGTCTAGCATTGTCTTTTTATGCCAGAGGTACTCAGGCAAGGCTTAATTAAACTAAATCTACTGAATGGAGACTCTATGTCACAAGGTCTGTAACAATTGTTTTCCTGGCATAACCTTTTGAATCTTCCATTTTCACCAGGGCATACCTAAATCAAGGGTTGGAATCCTGTAATCCAGAGGTCATTGGTCCCTGACAGTAACTTTCCAAAAAAATGTTTACTGAATAGGAATAGCCAAATTGAATAGGAAAGGCTTAAAATTCACAAGATGTACTTAAAATGAAAAAAAAATTCTTTGAGGGATTCTTAATGAATTTTGTCATCAGACTAGAGAATAGTCTCTGAAATAGGAGAACACTGTGAACAATTACCTTCTCTTTAGGTAATTATCACAAAGTCTGGAATGATATGCCATTCTAATAAATAGGTGCATTTATACCATCCTTAAGAACAGTAATGTTCTTTCATATAGTTGAAATTTAAAAACACAAATCGTTGGTCTCTTCATATTATTCTAGAGAGCATACACAATATGAAGTGAGCCTGGTGAGATCAAACGTGCTTTGGATTTAAAGACATTGTTTTTTTAAATGTGGGTGTGACTAACCAAAGCATGTTCTTTAATTTCCATGGTCTGGCTTTGTTCTTGATCAGGCCAAGTTTGACCACTGGAACATTTTAAATGAA